AGTGACAGGGCCCAAACAGTGTGAGGTCAATACCCGTTTAAGGCAGTGGAGAATTTGGAGAGGGGAATTAATTAATTAACAGGAGATAACTGATAACTGGCATTCATTAGACATGACGCGTGGAACTAGAACAGTCTACCCCATCGAGCGAAATAAAGGGTTTAGTTCGACATTCTAACATCCTGAAGAAGGCCGGACCGTAAAACGGCCGAAACGTTGTGATAAATATGGCAACAAAGGCGAGGACAATAGTCCGAAAAATGTAAATAGTGTATTCGTTTTGTTCTACATTACATAAGAATCATAATACTCATGGTCAGAATCCACTACCTCTACGAAATATAGTAATTATAGGAAATTATAACTTTCAATTGTTTTATTTAATCTTTTGACTCCCAAACAAGGCGAGAATGCCACTACGACGCCAGTGGTTATCGGGAACAAAAGAGAACGAGAAAAATTTACTGGGTAGAAAGGACAATAAAAGAAAAGGTTTCACGAATATAGAAATTGGCGACTGACGCTGCATTTCAATTTTAGAATATAGTAGGTGACAGGGAAATAAGAAATTCGGAATGGAATTCAACAAGCGAGAAGTGCGAGAAAAGAACATATGAGGATAGAACGGATAAAATATTGAGACCTAGTAGCCAATTTAAAAGTACGCTTAAATTCACGCATTCGAATTACAAAGGAACAACCTCCCCACCAGGCACGGTGTGGCACAAGGCCTATTTTTATGTGTGGCATATCCGACACCCTAGGCTTAAGCAAAACTCTTCCGTAGGCCCCGGAATCGGGTTTGTGTACCTCATTAGACAAGACTCTACCCTTCGGCATAGCGTCGTCTGGGTTCCTCGCTGCCCGAAGGTAGAGAGTTCTACAAGATCTAAGAGCTTCGTGCGCTCCAGCTCTCGATGCCGGCAATCTCTGTACAAAGTAGGAGACCGATATTTACGCCGCTTATATGCAGAAATATGGCACAAGACCGAAATGCGGAATATGGAAAATGGCGGTCTTCTTCTGTCTTAACATTAAAACATACAACAATATTCCTTACACCAAAACAACGCATTCTTACTTACCTTTCTTACTACACCCACCATTATACCGTTATGTCTCTAAGAAAGTGTTAACTAGTCCTCATCTGTATAATTCATTGTCTGTGAGGTAGGGGAATAAAACAACAATTTAAAAACTCGCCTTACTGTGTATTTACAATATGAAAACAAAACTATTTACTAGAAACTAAACAAAAATGTTAGTAATAAACCTCTTCCCCCACAATCTTTAAATGTGGCAGAAACATCAGTTAACTGGGCGAAATTAATGCGGGACTTTAAGAATATAAAAACACTCATGCATCCCAAACCCTCACTCGGACACACACTCATTCAGAGACAACAAATACGAAAATCTCACACTAAAAGAAAAGCGCCCCGCATCGACCAGAGAACTAACATCCCTGACAACCTAACGATAGAGGGGATGGGGAATTAAAACAAAGAAAAATGGGGACATAAATAAAAGATGCCAATGCGCATATATCCCCTAGGTAAGTTAACTGGAATGAACAAACTAAACAAAAACAACCCTAAACTAACCTAAATCCGGGCGGATACAAAAGAGGAGAGCAATATTTATTCTGATATATACACAGAAATGTGGCCCAAGGTTGAAGTGGGGATTGGGGGAAAGGACAGTCTTCTGTCTTAACGATGACTTAGCTAGTAACAAACACTGACCCAATCATACAAACAATGTTCCTTACACCAAAACAATGCATTCTTACGTACCTTTCTTACTACATCCACCATAATACCTCACTGTCTCTATGAAAATACTAACTAGTTGCCATATTTACAATTCATTGCCTGGGGGGGGGGAGAATAAAACAACAATTCTAAAAAATAGCTCCAATTAGTATTTACAATATGAAAGCAAACCTATTTACAAGAAATTAAAGAAAATAAGATTAGTAATAAAACCACCACAATCACTAAATGTGGCAGAAATATCAGTTAAGTGGCCGAAATCAATGCGGGACTATAATAGTATAAACCATTCATTCATCCCAATCACTCACACTGACATGCACTCATTCAGACACAACAACAAATACGAAAAGAATCACTCACACGAAAACGAAAGGCGCCCCGCATCCACAAGCGAACTGACATCACTGACCACCTAACGAGGGAAGGGATGGGGAATTAAACTTAAAGAAAAATAGGAACAGAAATAAAAGGGGGCCAATGCGCATATATCCCCTAGCTAAGTTAAGTGAAATGAAGATACTAAATGGACAAAAACGACCCTAAATTAACCTAAATTCGGGCGGATACAAAGAAGGAGAGTTCTTTAGAACAAATGCCATGCACATATTTATAGAAAAAAACCAAGAGAAGCTACATCGCGAAGGTGGGAATGTCACTGAATTCGATATTGGTTGAAGAATATAGTATTAAAAGTTTTTAGTAATGATAATGAACGATTACGCTTCCCCCCGCCCAAAAAAAAAAGGTCCCATCTTTGATGTCATACATTATGCACACTTGGACGATCATGTCGCTTTTCGATTCCGGATCAATTTGGCAAAAGAATTCCTGCAGTACAGCTTCCGGTACGTTCTGCGGGAGACGAACTTCCAAATTAAGGCTATAGGAACCAGCTCTTCCTGCTATTTGTGAAAGGAGAAAAAACGGATTCCTAGCGTTTCCATGGGTATTTGTAAGTGAATGTATCGAACTCGATTGCAATTCGAACTTGGCTCTCCGATTTCTCATTCCAGGTCGTTATCCATCACACCACCCTCACATCCGATAAGGGTACTAATGGAGAATAACGCAGTTAAGACGAGCAAATTTGTAAATAAAATGTTCAGTATTAAGGATTTTTTAATCAATATCACACCGTGGAAGGCAGTAAAGACACTAAAACATCTTTATCCAGGGGGGCGGAAGTGTCATGGTACGTGGAACAAGAACAAACTACACAGGTAGAAGAAATAAAAAGTTCGGTTTGAAATTCCAATTACATACTGGGGCGTACAACGGCCGAAACGTTGTGAATATGGCAATGAAGATGAGGATAACAGTCCGAATAATGCAAATAATGCAAGTAATCATAATACCATCTCATATAGACATCAGAGAGAGACATAAAAGGCCAGACAGATATATAGAGAGAGGATAACAGTAGAAATAATAAAGGCCAGGATATAGACAGATACATAGACATAAAGCCTGGAGAGTACAACGAAACGTTGTAAATATGGCAATGAAGATGAGGATAACAGTCCGAATAATGTAAATAATGCAAGTAATCATAATATCTCATCTCAGAGATATAGACATATATACAGAGAGACATAGACATAAAGGCTGGAGAGTACAACGGCCGAAACATTGTGAATATGGCACTGAAGATGAGGATAACAGTCCGAATAATGTAAATAATACAAGTAATCATAATACCTCATCTCAGAGATATAGACAGATATATAGAGAGACATAGACATAAAGGCTGGAGAGTACAACGGCCGAAACGTTGTGAATATGGCAATGAAGATGAGGATAACAGTCCGAATAATGCAAATAATGCAAGTAATCATAATACCTCATGTCAGAGATATAGACAGATATATAGAGAGACATAGACATAAAGGCCGGAGCGTACAACGGCCGAAACGTTGTAAATATGGCAATGAAGATGAGGATAACAGTCCGAATAATGTAACTAATGCAAGTAATAATAATACCTCATCTCGGATATATAGACAGATATATAGAGAGACATAGACATAAAGGCCGAAGCATACAACGGCCGAAACGTTGTGAATATGTCAATGAAGATGAGGATAACAGTTCGAATAATGAAAATAATACAAGAAAGCATAATACCACATCTCAGAGATATAGACAGATATATAGAGAAACATATATATAAAACCCGGAGTGTACAACGTCCGAAATGTTGTGAATATGCAATGAAGATGATGATAATAGTCCAAATGATGTTAATAATGCAAGTTAAAAGAAGCAATTGAATTATTTACTAGATCCGATACATTTTGATTTATTCGATCTCAAAAACCCTTTCCCGATCAGCCATAGCTAAAAATATTTTTGAATGTTACCTTTAATATCATTCATTATTTACTATATATTTATTACACCTAATTACATGTTTCTTTGACTTGTTACTATATATCAGCCTTTTTATTCCAAGTTATAGAATAGTGTAGTATTTTAGGTACCTCGTGAAAATAAAATTTTAAAAAATCCAAACCTTAGATTCCGTAAGAATATACATGTTTTTATACCAATGCGTCTCCCAAATGTATAATCTTCTTTGTCGATAAGTTCTTTATGGAATTCCTGTTTTGTTATGTTTCGCCAGTCTTTGATGTTCCCTCGTATGTGACAACTCAAGTGTTTTCAGATCTACTAACAGTAAAAATCTGTTACACGGGACAATGGCATCCAGTACTGGAATCCGGAAACGGTCGATCCAGCCATCAGCGCTTAAAGGAAGCATAATGGGTGACCACGGCTTGCTAAAAACATACCGGAAGTTCTTCTTCCTTAGTGATCATTGAAAAGCATTAACATTTGCTGCAATTTGGTGAGAAGCGTGTCAGTATTCATATGTGTGACAAAGAAAAACAAGTTCAACACATTTGTATGGTGATTTTATTGCGTTGTTTAGAATTTATCTACTTCGTTAACCTCTTTTGAACAGAAGAAACATTGAAAGCCTATCGCTATTACCATGACAGACGTTCAGATAGATTTATTCTTTAGCTCCAACCTGTTCAGACTTTTACAGCTAGAACATTCAATGCTATTTCCATGGAGTCGAAACACACTTATTTCCTTTGTTTCCAAATGCAAGAACGAAGTTCCTCTCAGACAACGTTTCCCCCAATCACGAACTGCCAATTCGACAACTTTTTTACCCTAAAGCACTGCAACAAAAGAACTTTTTCCCCTCACGAAATGCAACACAGACAGCTTTTTTTTGACCTCACGAACTGCAAACTCAGACAATATTTTCCATCTCAGGAACTGCCACACAGACAAAATTTTCCCTCTCACGAACTGCTACTGAGACATTTTTTTCTTTCCCGAACTGCCACACAGACACCTCTTTTCACCTTCACGAACTGTCACTCATACAACTTTTTCCCCAATCACGAACTGCAACACAGACATTTTCCCCTCATGAACTGTCAAACAGACAACTTTTTCAACCTCACGAACTGCCACTCAAACAACATTTTCCATCTCATGAACTGCCACTCATACAACTTTTCTCCTCATGAACTGACTCACAGACATTGTCTCTATCACGAACTGTCACTCAGACAACTTTTTTCATCTCACGAACTGCCATTCAGACAACTTTTTCTCCCCTCACAAATTGCCACTTTGTGTATAATAAATATTCTGTAATGCAAATAGCTCTCCGATAACATGTACAGGAGTATGTACGAAAAAAATGAATCGTAACCACGGTCACCGAGCAGATTTTGTGAAACAGACTCCCGTGTGATTGCTCCCCTAGAAATTTCAGTCTTGATTTCTTCAAAGCAATGTTCAGTCCTCATTTTTTTCTCTTTATGCACATAATTTAATTCTTTACAACATATGAATCATTCATATCACAAACTTTATTCGGTGTTTTGACTGCAACCTCCATTTTGAGTGGCTTCGGGCCTTATATTTGGTGAAATTTAAAATGCAAAAATAATGGATTCAAAATCTCTGCGTGAGGTTTTTGTTGTGCAAACTCGTTTACTCGTTACTAGATACTTATTTCCATTAGAGCGTACTTTATTAAGCTCAATCCTCACTTACCAGTCTGGATTAATTTATCGTTTACGCGATCTTGTGCGAGATGGCTTATTTTCCACCCCGCAATCTCTTTAGAGCTCACACCTTACACTTTTTGAGTAGGTTCGCGTCTATTTATCATCTCTCAATTGCGTCTCTGTTCTTGGACAGAGTGCACTCAGGGACTACTTTGTCGAAAGGACAGAGAGCCAACTGAGGAAAATAATACTGAGAGGTGCCCAGCCCTGGGGAACATCTGCCCGAGGCCGCGCCCTTCCATTGCACCAGAGGGAGGGATCGATGTTCGCACAGAGTCCAGCGCAACCGATGGTTTCGGGGGCTGAAAATGTACGCGCTCGGGTCCCCACCTAAAAATAAACCTTGTGTCATATCTCGTCCTAGTGGGGTGGGGGGACAGGTACTTAATTTATCGTTTACTCGGTCTTGTGAGAGATGGCTTATTTTCCACACCGCAAATGTTTAGAACAGCTCTATTCTTTAGTTTCTCTAGTTCAGACCTTTGCATCTCGATTCTGTTCCCACGAAATTGAATCAGTCTCATTTCCTCTGTATTCCAAATGTAAGTAGTTAGTTTCACTCAGAGAGGTCCTTTCCCATGAACGTCCATTTTGTAGGACATAATTTCGCATTATTTACATAGTTCCTGACGTTTCCTGTCGTTGTACGCTCCGGCCATCTTCAAGTTATTGATATTTCGAACTGAACCTTAAATTTCGTCCACCGGGGAAGATTGTTTGAATTCGTAACATGCCTCTTTTGGATGCCTCAGTTATCCCCCATAGAAATGAATACAATATTGGAACCAGTAATACTAAGCGTTAGCGAAAAGCAATAATAACAACAAAGTTACAATAAGATTTCTGATAACACTATTTACATTATTCGGACAATTGTCCTTATTTTTGTCGCCATATTTATTACAACGTTTCGGCCGTTGTACACTCCGGCTTTATCAGGTGGTTAGAATATCGAACTGAACCCTTTATTTCGCTCACGTGCCATCTTTAATGGATATCAGTTATCAGTTATCTCCTGTTAATTAATTAATTCCCCTCTCCAAGTTCTCCACTGCCTTAAACGGGTCCTGTCATTGGATCTAACCAACGCCTTTATCCACTGTGCCATGTGTTCTTGAGGACATCTGTGCATGAATTTCTGTGTATTATAAACCTAATGTCTCAGAAAACCTTTTTTCACCAGTGCTCATATTGCAATTTTTTGCTGTTATCAATGTATGTTTTTACCAGAGCTCATATTGCAATTTTTGTTGTTGTTATCGCTTTTCTCTGGCACTCCTTATTACTGGTTCCCATACTGTATTTATTTCTATGCTCCTGAGCCGATCAAGCATAGAAATGAATAAAATATGGGAATCAGTAATAAGGAGTGCCAGAGAAAAGTGATAACAACAACAAAAATTGCAATATGAGCTCCGATAAAAAAAAAATGATTACTGAGACATTAAATTTATAAGTCACGAAAATTCATACATTCAAGATCAGATGAGCCAGTGGATAAAAGCGTTGGTTGACCGAAAGAGTTGTGAATTCAATACATGGTTATTGTTGGTGGAAAAAACTTGTAGTATTGACTTAAAGGGAGATAACTGACACATCCATAAGATTCACTAAAAAATGAGTATAAATGTAAAGAACCCTTCCCAAAATTTGTAAAAGTCTATTTGATACACTCTCTCTCTCTCTATATATATATATATATATATATATATATATATATATATATGAATTTTTTGAATTTGTAGGTCTGATGAATTGGATTGTGATTACGATTCCAATGTAATAAATTATAACCATGGAATATTAGTGTTTGAGCCTTTTATATTATATTTTTACTCTGTCCTGAACATTGAGTTCTACCTGGATTCTATCCTCGTGGGATATATATATATATATATATATATATATAACACACATACACATACACACATATATATATAATATATATATATATATATATATATATATATATATATATATATATATATATTAATATGAACAGCGAGGCAAAATACAACATCAAACAAACACTTATCAAATATATTTTCCAGACAGATGTCGTCGAGGAGAAAAAAAGTTAAACTAATATTTTAAAATAACACAGAGAATCGCCATTTTATATTATATCCTTACTCTGTCCTGGACATTGAGTTCTACCTGGATTCTATCCTCTTGAAATTTTTTTATATATATATATATATATATATATATATATATATATATATATATATATTGTCCACTAATATTCTCTCTCTCTCTATATATATATATATATATATATATATATATATATACATATATATGTGTATATATATATATATATGCATAAACACACACACACACATACATATATATATATATATATGTATGCATATATATATATATATATATATATATATATATATATTAGTATGAACAGCGATGCCAATAATACAACATCAAACACTTATCAACAATACTTTCCATATTGATGTCGTCGACGAGAAAATAAAGTTAAACTTAAAGAAATATTTTAAAATCGACAGAGAATCGCGATTATATGATCAAAATGCAAACCATTAATACATTTGAATATCACTTAACGATCCAAACAAACATATCACTTATTTTTATAATAAAATGTTCAAAATAACTCAGAACATCAAATATCTATAGTGTGTAAAAACATTGTTGTTTATTAATTTCCATGTGATTTGCAAATGTTTCGACTCCCTTACCAACAATCAAAATCTACATGACGTTCTCTTATAGGTAACATACACACCACATGCTCTCATCGATTGACTTGTCACTTATAAATATCTTGTTTAACTTCGTGGACATATCTGTTATCGCATCAGTAACAACAAAAATACTCAGTGAAAGGAAAGACACAACTTATTAGAAAATAAGATTATACAAAAGAAACAAACCACATTATATGAAATGTATTATCAGCTAATTATCTTGGAGTGAGTATAAAATATTACATGCCAAATGATAATAATATGTACACATATTTGATAATTCTTATCTATGATATCACTTTAAAGGAATTATATTTCTAGTTCTCAAATAATATCATGACATATCCATCAAAATCTTGTTGGCCACACTGACAATACCCAGTTCTTGACACTGACTGTGATAGTCGAAAGTACTTAAACAAGTTTTCCTATGGTATATATCCCGATTTCGAGAAAATTCAGTCAGAATGCCTTCTCTCGGTTGAAATTAGCAAAAACTTTACATAGCACAAACACACACACAGACACTCACACAAACACACACACAGGCACACACACACACACACATATATATATATATATACATATATATATATATATATATATATATATATATATATATATATATATATAAATAAATAGATATTATTTGTACCCACAGACGTCAGAATAGATTTAAATAACAGGGACGTCATTTTATTAATCAAACCTTTTTTTTTATAGACATACAGCACCTGAGATATCTTTCGGCCAACACTTATTCATAGGTAACGCGTTGGCACATTATTTATTAGTATAAAGAGGACACATATAATGAAATGTTTGCTACAATGGAAGAAGAGTCCGAGCTCGTTTAAAATTAAATTTATTGAAAATATAATTTAAATGTAAGGTGGGTGTAAGGGGGCGATTCTTTTTCACCATTTTCTCACAGTAGTGACAACAGAATAGCTGCAGTGTCTCAGAGTTGTTATCTAATAGCCATTTGAGTGTCGTGCAGTGCTGTCATTGGTCAACATATCACATCATATCAATATGGGTAGGGATCATGGCGACACGTCTCTTCTAGCATAATATTTGCATTGGTGTTAAATACTTTTGCATATGGGTTATTTTATTTATTGTTAATAAATGTTTCTCAAAACAGTGGTTTTAAATTTTCTTTCTATGTTTTGATCGACAATGTTCGTTTAAATATTTCCTATAAGTTTCGTTGAAATTGATCTGTTATTTTTTGAGATATGTAAGAAAAAACAATGTGTTAAATACTTTTGCTAGCCACTCTCTCTCTTTCTCTCTCTCTCTCTATATATATATATATATATATATGTGTGTGTGTGTGTGTGTGTGTGTGTGTGTGAAAGTGTTAACCTGTAGAAAAAGACAATATTTATAAGATAAAAGACAAAGGAAATATTATTAGCCAAAGCATTTCGCCCATTTTATTGAAAACAAACACAAACTATTGGCAACAACCAATATATCCTTATCAACTAGAAGACTTTAGAAAACAGATTTGTATTCATATTATACTTGACGATATTTTCCGTTGACAATATGAATATAATAATTTTATAAATCTCTCTCTCTCTCTCTCCCCCACACACACACACACACACACATATATATATATATATATATATATATATATATATATATATATATATAAAAAAACTTAAACACTAATATTCCATTTATTCCATTAGAATAGTAAATACAGTCCAATTCATCAGACCTACAAATTCAAAAAGAAAGCAGAAAAAAACAACTCCAGGGTAATTATCAAAACTATCTATCTATCTATCTATATATATATATATATATATATATAATTC